ACAGAACTGTGTTGGAAGAAGTGCAGCCAGAGTACTCCTTGTAGGCCAGGATGGCCAAACTTGGTCTCTTCTAACTCCGGACATATTGTTGGGAGGGACCAGTCACTGGAGAAGGATATCGTGTTTGTTAAGGTGGAGGGTCAGAGAAGAAGATGAAGATCCCCAGCGAGATGGTTTTTCAAAGTGGCAACATCAGTGGGCTCAAGTGTGGCAACAATTGTGAGGTTGGCCCAGGACCGGGCAGTGTTTCGTTCTGTTGTGCATGTGCATAGAGTCGCTATGAGTCGGTACCAACTCGATGGCATCTAACAACAACAAGCTTTGGTCCTTACTTAGTTTTAATTAAGCCATTTCAATTATTTTTATTATTGATATAAAATGTTAACCTTGGGAGTTGGAGTTAAAGCAGAAAGTTAATTTAGCATTGGAGCATTCCAGTATGGGTATTGATTTCATAGTGGTGGTGGTGGTAATGGAGCAAATATTTTTTATCAGAGGAATAGTCTCAATTATTTATTTTCCTTGGAAAATAATAACAACAAAGATATGTGATTTAATAGACTAAATAGGTTAATTTTGTTGTGGTTAAATGGACTATTGAAGACAACTGTATATTGAGTTTTGTTTTTTTTTTTTTTTTTTATGATATCCAACTTCTAAAAGGTAGGTAACTTCTCAGGCAGCCATGCATAGTACCAAATTTAGCAAAGTAGTTCATCTTCCAGGATTATTAGCTTAGTCCCTATTCCATAAAATATTTACATGTTCCAAAAGAGATGTTTTTTCTCAAATAGCACTCTTATATGAATCTCTGTATTTTCTACTTTAGATGATTTTGAGTTATTATTGTTCACTGAACTTTGGGATGCATAACTATTAGCCATTTCAATTTCTAACAGAAAGGTAAATAAAAACAGCCTTTTAATATTACATGGTATTGGGACATAAGCAATGAAATTTAAAGACAATGGTTCATATGTCACTGGCCTTTCATTGAGAATATCCAGCTGGCATTCATAAAATTGGATGCCACAAGAGTAGAAGAACTTAAGTAAATCCAGCAGTAACCTGATTCCTAGGTATAGTGTATGTACTTGGAGGTACAGGTAATTCACATAGGGCTTTTGTCTCATTTTGACCAGGAGCCACGGTTCACTACAAGGTACAGACACATCATCAGAGCTGTTAGTCAATACAAAGAGCATGAGAAGCACTCCAAACACCGCAGAGATCTTCATGGTTTCAGACCTTGATCCAAGGTATATGAAGTCGAGATGAATTTTGTAGAACTTGTTTGCTTTGATAGTAGAGCTACAGAAAAGACTTTTAAAACATTTGCCGTATGGAAGTTTTTTTTTTTCAAAATACAGTTTAAATGTTTTCAGTGACACGGAAAAAGTTACTAGGGTCATATTTTGCTTTACTGACAGTGTTTACTTAAAGATCATGTGGAAATGTTTCTGTTACTTTTTAGGAAGCAGCCTTATGGATTTTTCCTTCGTTAAGCAACAGTTTACATGCAATGCAGTTTGCTCGTTTCACTTATAGAGCTTGATGAATTTGGCCACTGGATACAGTTGTGTCACTTTCATCACTATCAAGATATAGGGACATTGCTAATACCTTAAAAGACTTTCTCATAATTCTTTGTAATTGATACTGATCTGCAGCCCTAAGCAACCAGTTATCTGAATTTCTATCACTGTGCTGTTTAGGAGCTCTGGTAGTGTAATGGTTACAAATCGGGCTGTGAACCTCAGGGTCAGTCGTTCGAAACTACCAGCAGTTCCGTGGGAGAAAGATGAGGCTTTCTGCTGCCATAAAGATTTACAGCTTCGGAAACCCTGTACAGGCTTGCTATGAGTTGGAACTGACTCCACGGCACATAACAACAACATCACTGTGCTGTTAAGACTGTTGAGTTGGTTCTGACTCATAGCAACCCTGTATAGGGTTTCTGAGGAGCAGCTGGTAGGTGTGAACCACTGGCTTTGTGGTTAGCAGTCCAGTTCTTACCCTACAGCACCATACCAGGAGTCACTGTTGTTGTTAAATGTTGTTGAGTTGATTCCAGTAGGGTTTCCAAGGAGTGGCTGGTGAAATTCAACTTCCTACCTTGTAGTTCAAGTCAACCTTGTGGTCCAGTGCTTAACATACAGCGTCATCCAGGACCCCAGGGAGTCACTGTAAATCTGTTTTATTTAGAATTTCCTATACGTGGACTTGGAGTCCTCTTGTGATACTATAGGCTAAGTGCTGGGCCACAAGCTTGGTTTGAACTGCAAGGTTGGTTCAAACTCACCACCCACTACTCCAGAACCCCTCTACAAAGTTGTTAGGAGTTGGAACCGACTCAGTGGTACTTAAGAACAGCAGCGAAAATAGACATTTGTATGAACTGTGATGATAAGCATTGGACTGTGAACTACAAGGTCAACATTTCAAACCCACCCCCTGCTCCATGGGAGAAAGATGAGACTTTCAGCGTCTCAAAGATTTAAAAGCTTTGGAGACCTTTAAACAGGGTGACGATGAGTCAAAACCAACTAGAGGACACTTAACAACATACATGGAATACAGTATGTAGTCTTTGCGTGTTTAACTCTTTCGTGTGCCATAATGCTTTAGAGATTTGTTCATGTTATTTGGGTATCACCATCTTTTTTTCTTTTAATTGCCAGGTAGTATTCCTGGTGTGGCACTGTAGGACAAGCACTGGACTGCTAACCACGAACCAGCTGTAAAGCTGGCAGTTCAAATCAATCAATGGCGTCTTAGAAACCCTATACAGGGTTGCTATGAGTCAGAACCAACTCTATTGCATTTAACAACAACAGTATTCCATAGTATAGGAGTATTGTTGTCAACAAGCCAATTTTGACTTAATGGCAGCACCGTCTACAGATTAAAATCCGTAGGTTTTTTTTTTTTTTTTTAATGTTTTATTGTGAATTATGTGATAGTTTACATGGGAAAACACTAACTTTACATTCATCCTATATCATTTCATTGCCATTGTTACAGTCCCACCATGCATCTTCAACCAACCAAAGGGTATACCCTGAAAACCTGCCCCCCAATCTTCAGCACACAGCCCCTCTCCCACTCTGGGTCTAGAGTCCCCAGCTGCTCCATCTCTCCACGTCATCGTCTCTGGTGTCACTGCTTCTCTGGGTAGGCTTTCACACTCTGCTCTTCTCCCTTGATGGTTGCAGGGACCTCGCTCCTGGACTACAAAGTCAATCACTCCCCTCCTTTTGCTACAAAACGTCTACCTTTACATTTCCAACCCTTGCAGTCAGTCCTGGTAATAATTATTCACCATTGTACCACAAGGGACTTATCCCCATCTCCTTTCATTAGCTCCGTCTCTGTGGAGATTCTACCTTCCTCCATGCCCTCTGGATCTAGGCTCCCTTCTGAAAGCTTGTAAGCCAGTCACTTCTTGCCTTTGTAGTCCATAGGGTTTTTACCTCAGTCTATTTCTCTATAACCAGTTGATGGACATTTGGGTTGTCTTCTAGTTTTTACTATTAGAATAAAGTTGTGAAATTTTGTGTATCCAGTCTTTGAATGAATATATACTTTGATTTCTGTTAGGCATAGAATGTTGTTGTTAAATGCCATCAAGTCCATTACAACTCATAGCAACTCTGTGTAGGATTTCTGATGAATGGCTGGTGAGTTTGAACCTAAGACCTGTGGTGCACACTGACCTTGTGCCTACAGCGCCACTCCAGGAGCCATGTTGTGGTAGTTGTAAGTTTACCTTTAGAAAGTACTCTGGTAGTTTTAAAAAACTGTTTGTGTCATTTACATTTTCATTTGCAGTGCAGGAGAGAGCCAG